AATTTAAAATGCAGAGATGACTGACTGTTTAAGAAAGAGAGATGTTTAGCTTAACTAGTGAAAACAAGCATTCTTCCCCTGTAGAACCATTCATAAGGGATCAATATGACAAGTGCAACTCCCAAGATCAAAAAGGAATCTTAGGGGAAAGTAAATGTGCATCATGGAGGAAAAGTAAGGGACAAGAGGCAGGCGAGAGTGGTTGTACAATTCAAAGAATGCAATCAGTGCCACTAAATTGCAGATGAAGAAACTGCTGGATGTTTTGCTGTGTATAGCCTCCACAACATAGTGAGTCCTGGTGGCTGCTAACTGATAAAGTCAGCAGTTCAAACCCACCAGCAGCTCTGCAGGAGGAGGATGAGGCAGTCTGCTCCCGTAAAGATCTCTACTGTGTCCTGTCTGAGATGAAATTAACTCAAAGGCAGTGGGCTTGATTTGGGGTGATTTTTTGGTCAACACCAACAACAAAAGAGACAGGTGGATAACAGTGAATAAATAAAACAAAAAGATCCAATCATAGCAAAGCCAAGAAATACAGAGCTCAACTACTAAGCCCATGTCTATCTGAGAACCACGCCAAGTCTAAGGCTGCTGCTTCTGCTTCTCAGTTACTTCTTTCATTCCAAGAGTCTTTAGTCAGTGTCTGATGTGGGTCATATCAGGCACTATCACAAGTGCTTGGGATACAATGGTAGACAAGCAAAACCCTGCCTTCATGAAGCTTACATTCTAATGTGAATGGAAGACAAACAAGTACACATATAGAATGTTAGGTGCTGAGAAATACTATGGGAAATAAGCAAAGCAGGAAAGGGGTCAAGAACAGAATACGAGATGTGGGGAGGGACTTGCAACTTTAAAGAAGGTGGCAGGGAAGATCCTAATGAGAATCTAACATTCTTGAGAAAGAAGTCAGGGTGACCAATGGTTACCATGGGTGAAAGAGGAAAGAGTTGTTGCTTAGGGGGGCTTTGAGTTTATATTACTGGTGGTAGAAATATTTGGAAAAGGATATCAATAATGGTTGTATAACATGAAGAGTATAATCAATGGCACTGAATTATACATGTAGAAATTGTTGAACTGGAGAATGTTTTGTGTGTGTATTTTTGCTACAATTAAAAAAATAATAACACAAAGAACAATGAGTATAAGGAAGAAGAAAAAGTTCTAAAATTGATCGTGGTAATGATTGTACAACTCATCTTGATGTGACTGAATTGTTGAATTGTATGACATGTGGATGAAATGCAAATAAAACTGTTAATCAACCAACAACAAAAAGGAATCAGGTGAGGGTTCTGACATGCAAAGGCCCTGAGGCAGGAGTAGACCAGGTATGGCTGAGGATCACCAAGGATGCCTTGTTGGAAGAGAGGAATTTGGGCAGGTAGCAAAAGGCCAAGGGATGTGAGCTTCACATATCCTGATTCACTCCAGAAATAGAACTCACATTTTGTGCTAGGGCAAACGTACAAGCTTTTTGTCTAGGGAGTTGGTCCAAATGCTAAACTACATGGGTAGAGAAAGGTCGGTCAAGAGATACAAACCAGTGATCAAAGTAACAAACAGGAAGATAGCATAAATCTTTGCAAGGGATGTTCCAGAACCAGGAGAGCAACACAAAACAATGTTCTAATTTATCTGACTTGCTCTGTGGTGCTATTAGGTATTTGTGCTTTATTCTGAGGGCCTTTCTCCTTTCCACCATAATAAAGATAAGTGAATGGTCTAACAGGACAGTCATCTAACTTTGGGCTCTAGTGCAGGGTTATTTCAATGGGCCAGGTAATTTCTGATGTGGGGGCAAGCCTAGGCATCATAGGTTTAGCAGAATCCCTGGCCTCTACCTAATAAATGCACTCCCTCCCCAAATGCTGTGACAACACAAAATGTCTCCAAGCATTATCAAATGTTTCAGCAGGGATGTGTAGGGTAAACACAATTATCCCCAGCTCAGTCAATTGTTCTGGTAGGAAAAGACTACAAAAAAACACCCTTCTTATCATTTATTGACACACTGTTTTGGGCTTAAAAAATATTATTTTTATTTTGTTTTTTAAAGTTCATCTTACAATATGTATCTTTTTCTACTTCTAAAACCTGCCTGTAGCCAAATGACACTTCACAAAGAACTACAGGAGGAAAATGGGGCAAAGTGAGCTGGTGTTAAGTATGGGCATAAACTTAGTCCATCACAACATTTACAAATGATCTCAATGTTTGTTCACTCATTCTTTCATTCATTAACACATCTAGATATGCACACATGTATCCCTCTCCAAGAAATGCTTGGAGCACTGTTCTAGCCACTGGTGACATAAAAGGGAGCATGGAAGATACAAGCCCCTACCAAACTGCTCTCATGAAAGCCAGCAATGGCTTCCACGGCTTAAGAGCCAACGGTTCATTCTTGGGCCTCATCTCACCTGAACTCTGCCAGGAGATTCTGACTCCATACTGTTTTAATTCAGTTCTTAGTCCCTTCAGCAACCCATCTCAGTCCAATGCTCCTTCAGTTCCTCAGGTTCAGTTAATCACTTCTTTTAAGCACTTATTCAGATGTGTCCCCCCGAGGGGTTGTTCCCCGGACATCCTATCAAAAACCACCACATCTTCTTTGTGCGCCTTCCATTCTCCTCCTGGCTTTGCTGGGTCCCCTAACACTTAGCATCCCTGGTACACTACATCACTCACTTCTTTAGCTCATTACAGTCTCCCCATCACCACCACCACCACTACCACCACCACCACCACTACCACCAGGCACACTTAGAAAGATAGGGATTTGGGTCTATTTTGTTCCCTACTGAATCTCTAGGGTCATGGCAAAAAATAAGCACTAATAAATTTGGCCTGAATTAAGGAATCCTAATGAAGTGATTGGAGTGACAAGAACATAGGAATCATCTTGTTCAGGTCATCAGTGGCATTCATGGACCTATTTCATCTGTTTATCTCTTCATGCTTGTTTCTATGGTCCACGCCCAATGGACCTCTGGAAGAACCTCCGATGTTTCAAACACCTTACTGCCTCAGGACCTCAGCACTGGTTGTTCTACTGAATGCTTGTCTGAGACAATTACCAGTCATCCCTCCATTCTTAACTTCCCCATGAAGTCTTTCTCAGATCCCCGTTGTTACATTCTCCCACAGCACATGGACTCTTCTCTTCCTTTGTAGCAACTATTAAAATTGCAATCAAGTCATAACTGTGCCCATCTTTGTTGCTGTCCCCTCCATTTCAATAGCAACCATCTTGGTGACTCTCCTTTATCTCTAGGGAATTAGGGGAATAGTTGTGTAATCAAATTCATATAGGAAAGTGTATCTCTGGCCAACTTTGGTACTTTATTCCTGATCACCAATTAGCACGCACTTCACAAGTCATCAAAGTACGCTGATATAGACCAGGATTTGAAGATAAAGCCCTTCAGGCGAAATCTTGACTGTGACACCTCTGTCTCTTTTGTTAATAAAATCTCTGAACTGACTCCAATGGTGGCTAAGAGAATAATGAAGTCCTTCGTTAGATTGTAAGGAATAAGCCAAGGAGTAAAATGGATATAATTGAGACCATTTGCGTCTGGTTTGGGTGGCTGTTTTTGATTCTTAACTCTTATTTGTTTTAATACTACTTGTTCTATACGTCTATACATTATGTCTCAAAGTCACTGCTGACGAGTCACTTCTGACTCACAGTAACTGTGCATAGTTTCCGAGGCTGTAAATCTTTACAGGACCACACAGTGCCATCTTTCTCCTGCTAAGTGGCTGGTGGGTTTGAACTGCTGACTTTGTGCCTAGCAGTCCAACAAAATTACCCAGCCAGTCACCAGGGCACATGTATATTATGTTGCTTAACCTTCTTATGTCTAATGTTCTCAAATATATTTGAATTTCTCAAAGGGATTCATCTTCTGAGGTCCACACATAAGTATGAGAGTCTGAAATAAAACAAAGGAAAAAGCCCAAGCCTGTTGCCATTGAATCAATTCTGACTCGCGGAGACCCCATGAGTGTCTGAGGAGGAGTTTCAATGACTACGCTCTCAGGTCACCAAGCATTTTCCCTCATGGTCGCTGGCTGGATTTGAACCATAACCTTCAAGTTTGCAGTAGCCACTAACTATTTGTGTCACCTTTCTAAGGGATGCTGGTCATTGTATGAAAAGGGCTGACCACCCTAGGGAACAGGAGCTTTTACACAATTGCAGGGGCGGTGAATTATTGAATGTGGCTCTTCTAGGCAAAGAGCTAACTCCCACCACACAATCTTCCCCTGCAAGGTCTGGTGAGAAGGTAGGGGAAGATACTGATATGATTCACCTGTGAGTAACTGTGATTAGGATTCCCTGCAATGCCATCCTGCTGTGTAGAAAAGGAGCACCCTGGGAAGCAGGGGGAGGGATCTCATTAGCAGCAAGAGCCAGGAGTGGAGGTGTCCCCTGGATCCAGAAGATAGCCAGCTATGTCCTTAGAGGAGCAGCAGCAGAACCAGGAGCCAGAGCAAGGAACAGGGTGATGGACTTCCCAGCCCACAGAGCAAGTAAAGCTAAGTACATGGGTGCAAGAGGCTGGCTTGAGGAGTAGGGTGCTTCTGGGCACTTAATTCAGGGAGCTGGGTTTGCTAACCCACTGAGCTTTGAGCTGACTGCTTTGGGTGGAGGCTTCCAGCAGACAGTGGTATGCCTCTTTGGGCATTTATTAGCAGACCTGAAATTTTGTAACATGTTTAGTAAATAACTACTGGGAACATTTCTCACTGGCATTGCAACTTAACTTCCTTAATAAACCCTTTAATCGTGAACTTTGTCTGAGTTCTACATAGCCATTGCAATGGATACTAGAATGCAAAGAAGAGAGAACAACACTAAGTCTGCACAGTGTTCAAAGCCACTAGTTTAAAACCCATCCGTTTAAAGTTTTAAACCTTCTACAGATAATCGCATTGCCTCTGGTCCCTCTCTTAGTCTAAGAAAAAGAAAGACTTGTTACCGATTTCCTTTCCTGCTTCAGTTCTTGGACATAGCGGGCTAACTCCACAGTAATCTGGGAGGCCATGTTCTCGGAGATCACTTCATGCTGCCCAGCGTAGTCATTCATTTCATTCAGGGTGGAAAGGAAAGCTTTACATGACGTATACCTGTGAAACAGAACACAGAGCACTGTCTTTCCAAGAAGACCACATCCATTCGAATGCTGCGGCTTTAGTCTGGTAAAATATTAATTACACTCAAGATAGTCTGCCTTGACATCCCACTGGATCCTGACAGTTCATTACACGTACGGTATTCTCATCAAAATGGTTCAGAATTAATTATAGCTGAAATACTTTCCAATTTTTGAAACTGACTTGCTCTACAATATGTGATATCCAGCTTTGTAATAATCCAAGTATAACCCAAGATATGTTCATATGTGCACACATTATTTGTACTAACATAACTGATACTTGTTTATTTGTTCATTCACTCACTCATTTATTTATTTAGTAATTGACATTTATATCTACATGAAAACCCCAAACCACTGCCACAAGGGCTGTAAGTCAGGAGAGCAGACAGCCTCATCCTTCTCCTGGTAAGCAGATGATGGATTTGAACTGTCAAGTTGTAGTTAACAGTTCAAGGTTAACTGATATTCAAAAAAAACTCAACTTGCTGCCACTGAGTCGATACTGACTCATAGCGGCCTTATATGAGAACAGGGTAAAATGGGCCATGGGGGTTTCTGAAACTGTAACTCTTTATGAGAGTAGAAATCCTCCTCTTTCTCCTATACAGCAGCTGGTGGGTTTGAACTGCTGACCTTGCGTTTAGCAGCTCAATGTGTAACCACTAAGCCAATGGTTCTCAACCGTCCTAATGCTACATCCTTCAATACAGTTCCTCGTGTTGCGGTGAGTCCCCAACCTAAAATTATTTTCGTTGCTACCTCATAACTGTCATTTTGCTACTGTTATGAATTGGGCAACCCCTGCGAAAGGGTTGTTGGATCCCCCAAAAGGGGCGAGACCCACAGATTGAGAACCGGTGCACTAAGCCATCAGATCCCTTTTACCTGATACTACAGGGGTAATATTTTGGAGCTGTTCATGTTAAGATGCCTTAATTGTTCATTGAAATTGACGTATTTCTTGGATGAATGGCAGTGGGGTAGATTTTGACATAACAGAACCAAATCAAGTCTCTAGACGACATAATCCACACTTCCTATATTTATTTAGAGGGTATTAAAAACTTTTCCTAATCACTTCCATTGAAATCATCTGGAGTAGGCTTAATGCCCTCCCCCCACAAGAAAAGTTAATTGAGTATGTTTTCATGGTTTTCTCCCCACCCCACCCCCAAGCAAAAACTGACATAAATATGGCTAGTGAGCGCAATTTAATAGCTATTTCTCCTTCCGCTCGTAATCCTCACTATGGCTAACGGGCACTACCCAATACTTGTAAATGATAAACATACTTGTATTCTTCTTCCTCCTTCGAGTTCTTTTTGGGTTGGTATTTCTTGGAAAGGTTCCTGGAATTAAAATGCAGGCATGTCACTTTCCATAGGAAGATGCTTGAGAAATCAGAAATGAAAGATGAAGTTGCTGACTTTGTTTACAAGTGTTAGTCCCCAAATGCCCACATCTGAAATCCATTATTTCCTACCGTTTCTCAGCAGCCGTGGTGCAATTACTATTATGAAGGACTCCGACAGTTTCTAACCTTTTACCACAAAGGGAGAGCAAAAGCACAGAAAAGGCTGCTAGCTCATCACTGGACTGACTGGAGAGTAGATAGCATGTGTAAATAAATATACAATGGTTCCCATTTGTAGCACTGGGCTTAGGGCAGTGTTTCTTACTCAGCCACCACACCCTCATTGTCATCCCCAGTCAGGCATTACTGTCCCAAGTCCAAGGAAAACATGGACTGTTGCCCGGATGTCAAAATGAAAAAAATCACAGTGCTCGGGCATGTTTTCAGGGCTGTGTAGCTGCACCCCCAAATGGCTGATGAAACACTATCTGTGAATAAGTCCTTTCAAAGGAAATTAAGGCAATGTGCTGTGCCAAGACAGACATTTGAATTAGGAAAATGTGTGCAGGTCTGTGCAGAATGCACTCAGACTCACCAGTCATCCTCATCATATTTCTAAGTGGATAACACAAGGATTACAATCTAGTGTATTTCACACAAGAACCACAACTGTTTTTCTATGATAGAAACAGCAAACTTGACAACATTGGTTCTACCAGCTGATTTCGTAAGGATTCTTACTCTAATGAACTGTAGTAAAGAGAGATGGCCATAGGATGGTGTTATAAATTGAATTATACACCCAACCCCCCAATATGTGTTGTAAATCCTAACCTTTATTCCTGTGGTTACAGTCCCATTTGGGAATAGGTTGCCTTCATTATGCAAACGTGACAGCAATGGGGTGTATCTAAGGCAGTATCTTGAGATTCGTGGGTTAAGTCAAAATGTATTACTACTAGGATTGTAGTTCACACAAGCAGGTTTATTCCAAATGAAATGTGTTTAAGGATGTCCTTGTGCTCAACCAGTGGATGGTTGTAGACATGTTCTCTCAGTAATACACTTCTCAGTGTGCCTTTGATGAAAAGCCCAAGGCTAATTTCCAAGGTCATCTGCTGGACCAGTTAAATTCAAGACCACACAGAAGGTCATTATGACTTTTTTGGGGGAATTCTAAAGGAGTAAACTTGACAGACTTTTTTCTCCCTAAAACCATTTTTTTTTTTTAAAAATCGTTTTATTAGGGGCTCATACAACTCTTATCACAATCCATACATACAT